ATGGGGATGTGTTTGTTCATTAAGCAAATTGTAACCATATCCATGTAATCTCCAGGTAGCACAAGCTATATAAACCTCATTTCAAAAAGCCATACCGCTCTCATTTCCTTGCACAAGCTGCAGCAATTGTAGTAGTAGTAGTAGCAGCAGCAACAGCAGCAGTCGCTGGTCAGCCAACAGAGCAAGTGGCCACGCCCAAGCTGAATCCATCAAACGAAATGCTACTGCTCACAATGCTGTGGTTGAATTCAACTGCCCGGTTGATGACCACCACCACAGCAGCTAACAACTATTCAAGAGTTATCCACTAGGAATAGCATATTTTGTTACGGCCAATTGAACTGGCCAATTAATCCTTTCCTCATTTTACTGGATGTCTAGTCTGATGACGCGGTCAATGGCGCCTGTCCTCGGATTCAAGTCATTGACTTTATTATGATAGCTAACGAAAATACCAATGCCCCTATGATTCGATGATTTGTTTTTTAATAGCAGATTGATACAGCTATCCCTTGCTTTATTCAGGATTCGATCCACCACTGGGGCGACCAAGCTTTTTACGATTTGTTCATTTCCTCCGATGGTAAACTGGTACTGGTAAGTGAAAAGGAATCAGACCCGCCAGTAACTTTCTCTTCTAATCAACGTGTGAAAGAGAAAATCATTTAGATCCCTTCCAACGAGCGGTTATTGTTGGCACTTGCCGACCTCGAAATATTTTCGAGTGCTTCGCTCTTCCACAGCCAGTAAATTTGAACAAGGTTTTTGACTTTAAAACTGTTACTGCTCTCCTTAGCCCGCCAGGAAGTCCAATAGACGTCAGCCTGCTTTTCAGGCTACTCTCGGAAGAGAGTTTTTGTTAATCATTTTACGGAAAGTTGTCGGAGATAATTCCAAACGTCCCATTTTGTCGCAAGTCGAAAAAGCTTTACTTTGACGGATCTAAAATTCCGCATAACTTTTGAAATCTGTATGTCCAGGGGAAAAATAGCTGTACTGTCAATCACCTTTGTTGGTTTTTTAATTGTCCAATGACAGAGTGCTTAAGAAACTTATAAAGCTAAAGTGAAAAAATTTTGCGAGAGCTAAATTGCATTTTCGAAGTTTTCAACCGGAAAAATTTTGCAAAAGCATTTAAAAATTCAAAAAAAAGCCAACGAAGAAGCAAAGAAAACGTACAAGCTTATCAAACTAAGCGGTTCCACGCTTTTCTTTCTTATGGATTTTTACATGATATAAGTGTTTTGCGAATTATATTTTGTAATGTGTTTATGAAAATGGAATTTACAAGTGAAGTGCGATGAAATTGTTCAATGACATTTGGAATCTAACAGCCGGTGCGTGGGCTGTAATTTTTTTCTTGCTGTCCTCAAATCCTTGAATAACTGTAATTTTCCAGGCAAAATTGGCCATTCGGGGGCTGCTCGATCCGATGAATCGATGCTACCACTGCCCATCTGTTCGCTGTTCAATTACAGTTATTATCTGCATTATTACTGCCAAAGCATGGCCTGTATTCGCTGTTGTTACTGCACAAAATGCGGAACATCCTCACGCAAATTTGCTGTCGAAAGATCACGAAGATCATCAGCTGACACGGGTTCAACGTGATTCAAGCCAAATCCGAATTTCCAGTTCTCAATGCCCAAGCTTCTGTGAATGTGAACATGCAATGCCCAGTGATGGTGGCGATGGTGCACCAAAAATAGCAGTTTTTTGTCATGAAGGGGGCCTGGAGCAAGCCACGTTTTCGAGGCTTCTCAAGCAGGTACCACGAGACGTGACAATTCTGGATGTGGAAGCACCACCTGATGCTCCAAATCACTTGCTCTGGGATGATAATCTCAATCAGTTGCGATATTTACGCACTCTGCGACTGGTTAATTGCAACATCCCAGCTATCAGTAGGGCGCTGAAGCTTCGTACTCTGGAAGCACTCGACCTCCGTGGCAACCGCATTGAGCACATATCAATTTCGGTATTTGCCGGTGTTCCATCTATTCGTGAGCTGAACTTAGCGCAGAATTTGCTGAGTGTCCTACCGACAGGCGCTTTTACATACCTCAAAAATTTGCATATTCTCTCGCTAGCCCATAACAATATCACAGAGGTTTCGTCAAATTTGTTACGAGATTTGAGAAACTTGCAAGCCCTACATTTGGATGGAAATCGGATACCGGTGACGCAGCTCAACCTGCTTTTTTCGGATGTGCCGCAGCTGGAGCGGTTGGAGTTGAACGAATGCGGCTTGAGTACCGGCGCAATCAACGACCTGGCTCTGGGTAAATTTCACTCCCTGGAACGTCTTGGCCTAGCCGGCAATATGCTTGGCAAAGTACCGGCTGCAGCGTTACGTAATGGACTGCATTCGCTGCGCACTCTTGACCTAGCCGATAATGGGCTCGTTGATATTGCGCCTGGAGTGTTCGCCAGAACAAATATTAGCTCCCTTTTATTGGCCGGTAATCGACTGGGCGCTAGCCTGGATGCTCTTCGGCCAAGCTCACTGCAAACCGCTGGCACACTGCTGGAACTGGATTTGTCGCGCAATAATTTCGCGCATTTTCAATCCGGAATTCTCGGTGAAATCCAAGGGACCATTGAAATTTTGCATCTGAGTGGAAATCACATCACCGAAATTGATCAGCGATTAACAGCTAATATGACAAAATTGCACTCTCTGCATCTGGGTTATAATTTTATCGAATATTTGCCGCACAAAATGCCGCCACGTGAATTCGCACAACTGCGATTTCTGAACCTATCCGGAAATCAGCTTATTTCACTGCCAGATCATTCAAGAGAATTATTGCCCGAGCTCCAAAAACTGGACATTTCCGAGAATCGATTTATCTCATTTCCGGTTACTGTAATCCAGAATTTCCTCAACACCCTTGAAAAGGTTACTATTACTTGAGTCCCGTCATTTAAAAAAAAA